CTAAAATTAGCATATATGCACTTACAACATGTTATAAAAGCATGAAACGAGTTTAATTTTACGATAAAAACATGCATTTTATATCCACAAAACTTTCGTTATGTATGATAGATCATCATCATTATCATCATGTTGCCTAGCAACCACCCAACACCAAATCACAGACCCTACAGAATACAGCAGCATTGGCATGTAACACCCTCCTATTCTCCCCTGCTGCTCCTGAGCCACAGTTACTAAGGGGCTCATCATGACAGCATGTCTTCACTGATTAACAGCAAACTTCCAGGAACAGAAGCAAAACAGGACAAGCAACCATCAAAATATCAAAATCAGTCTAATGAACAGAACAATGAACAGCTACTAGTGTGGGTCGTGGTGAGACTGATTTACTAACTGATGTTATTGTAGAAACACTTTAGATATCCAAAAGCACATTTTTGAGCTCAAATCAGTGATACATCATCTGTGTGTCACTCCATCAGGGTGACATCATGCAGCTGAGTGCTGGTCAAACTGGGATTTTTTTTCTTTTGATGAAAAAATGCTCAGTGAATATCCATCCACCTACCCACTCACCCACCCACACACACACACGCACACAGACTAATCACCACACAGGATTGTGAGTAGGTCAGATGGCGTCGTCCACTCCTTCATATTGGAACAGTCATGAAAACTGATTTTTTTTGTCCCCACGCTATCACAGCCGAGGAAGTGAGCGTTCAGGGTGACGTTAATGAGGGGAACGTGGAAAGAGGAACACGAGAGTCGGATGGGAGTTTTCTAAAAACATTGATTTTAAGATTGATTGTCAGTTACGGCTGTTTCTGCAGTTATGATCTCAGCATTAAGTCAGTCATACTGAGAAGGATTACTGTGTTTTCCAGCTCTCCCGCCTCTTCCTCCTCCCATAAATGGTTCAGAATAGGAGATATTTTTCTCATCAGGGTCAAAGTCAGCACAGAGTGTGGGAGTGGAGAGTGAAGTGACAGCCAAAAGCAGAACTCACAAGGTGTAAAAACAGTGTAGTAATGAATATTTTTATCAAGAGGCTTTTTTTTTATACTGTTTATGCACGTAACGTAAACCATCCTCATCCAGGTTTTCCTCATAGTCTGTGTTGGATCTGCAGTACCAATACCACCATGAATTTAACGACTGAACTGGATCCAATTGGGAATTTTTGGAAGAAAGCCACTCCAACCTGTTCAGCATTTTTCTACAGCACCGAGGAGGGTGGAGTATACAGGCGGTGGGGGTAAAAATGAAGATAGAAACCATCTCTGTTTTTGGTTTTAGGTGGTGGAACGTAAACAAGCACGTTTACACAAATTCTATACTTCAGACAATATGCAGATATACTTTAAGAAGTATTTTTTTGCCATCCTTGGGAGAATGGCATGCTCTGTTTTGTTTGAATACTCTCCAATTTGCTATGATCATGCAGACAAGTCATCATAGTTATTACTCCACAAGCATACCGATTGCACTGGAAAGTAGTTTAATGTGAATAAATACAGGTTCATGGTCTCATCTAGAGAGTGGAGTCTTTGACATATGGTTTACTTAAACTGATTTTACATTTGTAACAGGAATTGGCACTGAAATGCGGTGAGACAGCATCAAAACGCTCTACAAAAGCAGAGAGATGACAGATAAACACAACCCTCTGAGAGTTATTGCTGTGTATACCTGTACCCTTAAATATAAGACCTCACTGATTCTTCCAAATCCGGTCAAAGTACACATAAAAACAAAAATAAAACTAATAGTCTTACTTGAGTATAAATTTTCATTTGCTTCAGGGGGAACTCAGTAATAAGATAAACCCGATCTGCTCTAATGTCACCGGTGTGATGTTATATTGCTCGGTTTTATTGAAACTACTAATTCAAGTTGCTGTTCTGAATGAGGTGTTTCAACTTTGACTAGAAATCTAAACGGTAACACGTTTCATTACAGTAAATCAATTCAATCACAGGGACGGAGCCACATAACCAGTAACAAGAGCCTATTAGGGGGCTCTGAGCACAGTCCGCACATACAGACATAACTGGACTTAGGTAACAATTTTTTAAGGACATCTTTTTTCCTCTGACTGTTGTACCCACAGAAACACGTTTTAACAGTTTAAATTGTGATCATTTTATACTTCAAGTCGTTTTTCCAGTTACAAATTAAAACATATAAGAGTTCCCCTGATGAAACTATACTATAAGACCAAATGATAATAATAATAATAATAAAAAATCCCCAAATGTTCATTTCTTGCAATGGGATACTTGAATTTTGCATAAGAAATAAATTAGTCTTTTTGCTGCATGTGGTTCCTGCTTTACTCACACACACATGTGTAACCACGCAGTTACTCCTGTACTGTCACCTTACACCATCTTCAAAGAGGAAGAAGAGGAGGAGGGTCATCAGAGAGCCGGCCTCCCCTGCAGGCTCATGTGGCAGCTGTTTTTAGCTGAACAATGGTCAGTAAAGGTTTACTAAAGGCAGCCAGCAGCGGCGACTGTATACACGAGTCCTGCTGACGCAACGCTGACAATTAGGTCAGCCCATCGCCCGATTCAGTGACCGAAAAACCAGAGGCAGCAGAGAGTCGTGGAGGAGGGGATGAGGAGGAAGGATGCT